GAGAAGTTAGGGACTATGTAAAATTTATTACAGATTTTATTAGGGGATTGCAGCAATGTGCAAATCTTACTCTGGGATGTTTAAGGGAACCACCCAAGGTGTTTTTCCTTGTAAAGGGCTGGACTAAGGTAGACTGAAGAGAAAGAGGCATGGAAAAGCCAAAGACAGAGGATAAAGGGGGCCAGTCCCCTGTAGACAGCTTTCCAATTACACTTCATGGCACGAGTCTTGCACTACACTGCTGCAGTCCATCCCATGTTCTCACTGCACCCTAGTTCTAACTGGCCTTGTGTGCACGTACCTATCAAGGCTAGCAAACTTCCAGTGGAACTAGCCCATGAGCAGGACAATAGGAGTAAGAGCCACTGGAGCAGGACCACATGTCTGAGGGACCTGAGGGGCCAGGGGTCAGCAACTGGGATTGGCAGTCTCTGCCTGGACTGCTGCCTCGCACACAGCAGGTACCAGAGCCCCACAGGTACCACATGAGGTTTGTGCACACAGGTGAGGTGCAGTCCTGGCCAGCTGAAGAGAAGGAAGAGGGCGCAGCAGCAACACTGGAGCACAGCCCCTGTTTACACAGATGCCAGACCAGGCACTGAACTCTGCCCCTGGGGATTTGTGGCTGCCAGTGTGTTTGTTGTTTGTACTGTGTGGGTGTGCACAGGGGTACTGGTTTGTATTGTTACAGGCTTGCTGATACAGAATCACAACAGCCTGGGGTCTTTTGGCTTGGGTGGGGAAAATAACCCTGGTCCTAAAGGCCAGGGAATTCTCCTGCAAGGAGCACAGTGAAGAATGCCCACACCAACACTGAAAAAAAACTCCTGTCAAATTTTTTTAGTTGGTCTATAATTTTTACATATTCCATATACCTGACAGGTCATTTAGCTTGTTTTAAATATCTAGAACATACCGGAGTCAAAGAAATTATTTTATTCAAGTATCTGTTTCATTACGTAGTTTGGCTACAACAAAACAGGAATAAAACACGGATGACTTCACAGCTGCTCTACCATGAAACATCTAAAAAGTTATCAATCCTATGAACATTGATTTAAGTATTTTTGCATTACAGAAGGTACTTCTCTTTCAAAATTCTCTTTGAGTATCTTCACAAAGTAAAAATAATACAGAAATTCTTTTTTTTTAATCAGCAGGTATGTAGGCACTTCACTGATTTAGAAAATAAATCATCTTCCTTTTTTCCCCTCAGTCAGTGACACAAACATTTTGAAGGCAAACACTAATATTTTTCCTTATTATTATTTCCTTAATTATTCCTTATATTTTCAGTATCTTATGTGATGCTAAGGATTTTATCCTTCATACACTTGGGTACACATATATGCAGATGCATGTATCCATATTCTTTTTATATATAATGATTTCAATAAATCTAGGTAACTCCTTTAAGGTGCTTAAGATCAGGTCTGATTACACCTCTCAAATCACCAAGGGGAAAAAAAACCCCACAAAACAAACTACCAAATTTAAAAAAAAAAAAAAAAGATTAAGAGCTCCAGCTCCTATATTTTAATTTCTAAACCATTTCAGTAATGGCCTATGAGAGACCTACACAAGAGCTGTTCTTGCAAGCACAGCTACCACTTGGCAACTACTGCATTTAAGTAAGTTTAAAAACCCTACTCTGAGTATTGTGGCATTATGTACTTTTGGTGGAT